AGTGCTAAGGTCCTCCAGCGATTCTGCCATAAGGACGATATCGTCGGCAAATCGAAGGTGAGTGATGTACTCGCCATTGATGTTAATACCGTATCCTTGAATAAAACTAAATTTACGGATTTTATCGCGTTTATTTCACTACTTTTAATTTTTTTTTAATTCCCGACGTTTCGGGTGCTTTACAGCAACCATGACCACGGGGGGGGACTAAGATGTTTGACGTCCCAATGTCATAGTTAGTCCGGCTACCTTCAGTTTTTGAATATTAATTTTTGCTCCGATTTACGCAAAAAGAGCTTATAGTATCATGAAGTCTTGCAGTGGTATGCTTAGGTTTGGGTTTAATTTTGTTAATTATAGGATCCCAAGCAGGTGGCAGCACCCATCCATCTTCTCTATTGAAATTTGGATGTTTTTTAATTTCAATAGCCTCGCGTATCATCCTTGGTAGGAATCGGTGTTCTTTTGCGAGAATCTGTGGTTTATCAAAACGAATGTAATGGTGGGGACGATCTTGAACATGTTCGCAGACTGCAGACTTCCCGGAGCGTCGGTGCTTCACGTCAGCTATATGTTCTTTCACGCGGGTTTTTACGGATCTTTTTGTTTGACCTATGTAAGAGAGACCACATTCACAATCTAACTTGTACACTCCTGCATCTTGTAGAGGGATATTACACTTGACGGATGGTAAAAATTGATTAATCTTCTTCGGCGGCTTGTAGTATGTTTTAATAGAAGCTCGCTTCAAGATGTAGCCAACCTTGTCTGTGACTCCTCTGACATATGGTAGTACAGCGGGTACACGCTCGACTGCGGCCGGCTTCACTCGGTCACTGTGACGTAGGCGCGGGACCCGAAGCTTGTTGTCTTGCAATACTTGCTTGACGTGCTGAAGTTCGGCGGCCAGATGTTTTCTGTCACAGATCCCTCGTGCTCTCTGAAACAAAGATTTACCCAAGGTAGCTAACTGTGAAGGATGACGGTGAGATTCACCATTTAAATATCGGTTGGTATAGGTCATTTTTCTATACACAGTGTGACCAGTTGTGTTATTAGGATTTCGAATGACTAAAACATCCAAGAAAGCTAAAGAATTATTTGCCTCTAACTCCATTATGAATTGTATTTTAGAGTTTATAGAGTTAATTTGGTTTAAAAAATGCAGTTACTTTGTCAGATGGTAAAATTGTGAAAGTGTCGTCTACGTACCGCTTGTAGAATCTTGGATTTACAGGAGCATTAAGAAGGGCTTTCTCCTCGAAGTCCTCCATGAATATGTCAGCGACTATGGGAGATACAGGTGAGCCCATCGCCACACCATCTACTTGCTTGTAGAACTCTTCCTTCCACAATAGATAGCCAGATGTGAGGCAATGTTCAAGTAGTATTGCATATTCTTGAGGCATGTTATTTTCTTCTAGCTTCCTAGTTACAATTGATATACAGTCTTCAATAGGTAGGCATGTGAATAGTGACTGAACATCAAAACTGACCATAGTTTCATTGTCAGCGAGATGTAGGTCTTTTAACTCACTAAAAAAATGGTATGAATCCTTTGTGTGTGCTCTGGTATGTCCTCTCAGTGGTGACAGTATTTTTGCCAAGTGTTGTGCCAGCTTACAAGTCGGTGAATCAATCTGGCTCACTATCGGACGTAGTGGAGCGTTTGGTTTGTGTATCTTTGGTAACCCATACAACCTCGGTGGTTTGGTACATGATGGAATTAGCGAATTCACGTCGAGATTTAATTTTTCGGAGTGTTTCTTTATTAAATCGTTAGTTGCTTTAAGCGTGTTAGACCCCGTACAGACCCCACAACTAAGTAGCCCTACTGTACAAACACTTCAGCACTTCGATATATCGACAGTCAACTTGGCAACGCTGAAGGGACTGTAGCACCGCCCAAATTTCAACGGAATCAAAGGCTTTCTCATAGTCCACATACGCCAGGCAAAGTGGCAGATTGTACTCCTCGGCCTTCTGTACAATCTGTCGCAGGGTATGTATGTGGTCTATGGTACTGAAGCCTTTTCGGAAACCGGCTTGTTCGGGAGGCTGGAAGTCGTCGAGTCTGCGTGCGAGACGATTCGTAATGACTTTCGAAAACAGCACGTAGACGCGGCTAAGAAGGGAAATCGGTCTGTAGTTCTTCAAGAAAGCGTTGTCGCCTTTCTTAAAAAACAAGACCACCGCACTTCTACTCCACGCCTCCGGAGTAGTTCCACCATGGAGGACGGAATTGAAAAGCTTCTGAAGGACTTCATGTACCGGTGTTCCACCCGCTTTCATAAGCTCCGCTGTAATTCCATCCTTGCCTGGGGCCCTGCCGTTTATAAGGTGCTGGAGAGCCATTCTAATCTTGCTCAGACTGACGTCGGGGATATCATCGGAATAGTGTCGGGTAAGAATTGCTCTTGGATCGTTACTCACACTTGCGTGTGGCTCCAACGATGATGTGTACAGCTGCCCATAGAACCTCTCAATCTCACTCAAAATCTCAGGTGTCTCGGAAACGATGCTGCCACACTCAGTCTTCAACTTTGACAGTTGGCTCTTTCTGGCAGAAAGATCTCTGGCAAAGACTTTGGAGCCTTGGTTCCGCTCGATCGCTTCTTTAATACGAGCAGTATTAAAGTTGCGTAAGTCTCGCCGCATGCATTTGGAGATCTGTCTGTTCAGTTGCCTGTATTCTGTCAAATCTGTTGACGACTGCAGCCTCATCTCCCCCTCTAAGAGCCATGAGATTAAGGGTGTGATCGGAGAGTTTTTGTGTTCTTCTGCGGCGGGTCTTGCAGAACTTAGCTCCGACCGCATGGACACTGTCTTCTAGGCACTGAAAGCGGTTACGTAACTCGAGCTGAAAAGATTCGGTATTCTGGATTAGAGCACGAGGGGGACGGAGCGTTGACTTCATTAGACGAGACCTCTTCAACTTAACGTTTAGGTTCAGTGTGCCCCTAACCATTCGGTGATCGCTACCAGTTTTCACTCTTGCGATCACTGAGACATCACTAAACAGTTGGCGTCTGGTCGTCATAATGAAGTCAATCTCATTTTCTGTCGAACCGTCGGGGCTCGACCAGGTCCACTTCCTGTGGGGCCGCTTCTGGAAGAAAGAGTTCATCATAAAGAGTCTAACTTTCTCCATAAAGTCAGCCAGCTGCTGGCCCCTACGGTTCCGTTGCCCTACTCCAAAATTCCCTAACTTCAGCTCACCGCCTTCTCTTGTGCCTAGTTTTGCGTTTTTCTAATATATAGAAAACATAAATAAATACTTCTTTAATACTGGTAAAAACTATCTGACGCTGCAAATATTTCAAATCAAAATAGCTCTTCATATAATTTCACAATTCTATCAGTTCCTATCTCTTTTGTGCTACTTCCACCAGATGAGGAGAGGTAGAATCGATTATTAGAAGCTTAAAAAATAACTCTGCTACTGGATGGGAATCTATACCTGTGCAACTTCTCAATTTATCAATACATCTAGTAGTTCCACCTTTGTCTAAACTTCTTGAGCTCTGTTATGTGCAAGGAATCTTTCCAAAAGTTTTTAAAAAATCGCTGATCACTATAAGGATGGATCCCGAGACGAAATGTCCAATTATAGGCCTATTTCAGTACTTTCGTGTATCTCTAAAATCTTGGATAAATCATTAAATTATAGACATAACATTTTTAGAACATAATAAAGTTATGTCTTCTTCTAAATTCACTAGTGATGTTTAGCAATTCCATAAGATACGAGCGACTGGAGGCGAATAATTTGAGGTCATTCATATAGAAAAGGTGGGTCACTTTTGTACCTCCTTTCCAAACCTGAAATCCCCTCCCGGAGCCCTCCAGTAAAGTACTGTGAGGGTTCAAAGGGAGGCAGAACCAGATTGGACTCAGACAGTCGCCCTGGAATATAACCCTTCTTATCCTTATGCGGCTTTCCGCAGCTGTCATCCGCTTGCCTAGATGACTGAGGATCGTACTCCACTGCCCCATATACTGCTCGAGGAAGTCTCTAACTGTACAGTCAATCTTGTACAACTCGAGGACCCTCTTAAGCTATGTATGGGGAACCCAGTCGAATGCCTTTCTGTAATCTATCCAGGCGGCGGAGAAGTTCCGACGGTTGCGTTTCCCCACTTTGCCAATGACCGCGTCAATAAGGAGTGGTTCCTTGGTTCTAGGACCACCGCCCCGACATCTATTTTGAGCACGCGACATCACCTGATTTGAGTCGAGGTGACGAGTAATTCTCGCGCTCAAAATGGATGTTAGTGTCTTGTATATGGTCGGTAGACCAGTGATGGGGCGGTATTTTCTCGGGTCTGTGGTAACCTGGTCTTTATGAACCAAATGAGTGAACCCAGTAGTGAAGAGGCTAGGGAGTGACTTCTGGTTGAGAGCCTCTTGAAACTGACGGACGAGCACAGCGTGACACACCATGAACCCCTTAAGCCAGTAGTGATGCAGCCCATCGAGTTCCGGACTTTTCCAGTTCGGGGCCCTACGGACCGCCTCAGCTACGTCATCCGGCATTATGATGATGGGGTCCATGGGCGTAATACCCGCACACTGACTCGCCACAACTTCCGTCCAAGGGCCCTCGTTGTGGTTTACGGGCTCTGACCACAGGCTGCGCCAAAATGCGACTGTGTCGGCTCGATTTGGTGCTGGGCCCGTTCCACTTATAATTGGTCGCTCCAATGATTTATAGAGCCTCTTCTGATCACTCTGGAAGAGATAATTCTGGTTGAACCGTGTCGACCTCTCGGTATATCGCCGAATCCGCTTTCCCCAAGCAGCGATTCTCTGCTTCACGTGGTCTATGCGCTCCGGCAGTTTTTGCATTATATCCGGCTGGCAGCAAATGCCATCCTGACAGTGCGCACAATCCTTGGCCTGTTATTGCCTGACCTGAAGCATATCAGTCTACCGATGAGGGCCCTCTCCTTTGCGATACGTTCTTCAATTCTTATTCTCCAGGCTGGGATAGCGCTACTTTATCCAGTAGCGCGTCCAGCCGTGGAAAGTTTGGCGCCTATAATACGGCATACTGCCAGTGCTAGGCCAAAAATATTTAAGTTCGTCTCGCAAAGGTCCCGGCTGGCTTCCAAATAGGTCACCAGCATTGGGTTTAGAGCCCTCACGACAGCCGGATTCCGCTTGCTTAGGGCTATGCGGTGAAGTCGCGGTTGATTTTCGAGAGGCGTAGTACGCGTTTCCATAATCGTCTCTTTCAATGTACTCCTCATACGTTCTAATTCCAGTTCCTGGGCGACTGTTTCATCATCTTTTGAATCAACCACAACTGGGTTATTCAAGGCGGCATCCACGTTTGCGGGTTGCTCTGCAATTTGTGGCGCCGCATCCTCAGCCGTAGCATTTTCATCCAATGACGGAACAGCCTCACGTCGTAGCCGTTCGAGTTTGGCGACATCAAATATATTTGAGCGCAAGAGATACCGAACTCGGTCTGCCAGGTTTTGCTCTGTGACGGTTAAAGATGGCTGCAGCTCAGCAAAAAGACGATGCATCCTAGCCCGATACGCCAAACCTCTAACTTCTCCCCTTTTCGCCCTAAAATAAGCCCGCAATGTGTTAGTATTCATTTCGATTGTCCATCGCATGCGTCGTACTCCACCAGTGGCGGGTGCCGATTGCTGGGCCCGCGAAGACCCTGCCGGCACCAAGCCAGCTGTTGGGTATGATGGATGCGAGGGGGCTGATGGGTGGTCGTGCAGCACCTCTCACTCTGCTGGCGGTTCGCATGCTGTCGCGTCCAGCGCCAGCTCCAGACGCGCCCTGGTGACCTCCAGGCTGCGGCCCTTTGCGCGTTCTTCCGTATTCTATCATCCATAGTGGTGGGCGTTATTTAACGGGAGACGCCCAGACCCGGCGCCATTTCATGGTGGGGCCATTGAGCACAAGCGGGCCTTTGCACCTTCAATTTTTGCCGAGGCACGGCACTAACACCTCTTGGCAAGGTGCTGACTGACTGCGCTGCCGTAGTGGTTTTGTCACATAACCGTTACGTCAGCGGGCGATGGGGTCGTCACTTCTCTACGCCGTCAATAAAGAGATATAGTTAGTAATAATAATAATAGCAATAAATATTATTATTATTGTTATTAACTTCCAGACCCAGAAAAATTATTTGTAGGTCATACAAATACTTGTGCTGAGCCACTGTACCATGCCGTGAAATATAAACGTCCTATAAATATCCCACTGCACCTATGATTTTAGAGAAGGCATATGCGGTACGTTTATGTAATGTACATATTATATTTTCGTATTTTAATTTTTATTCAATAAAAGTACTGTTATTAAATGTATTTAAATGTAAAAGTAGAAAAGAAGCTTTTCAGTGGATAGTCACCCTTGCTGCAAATCGTAATTTAATTGTGACCTAGTAAGTTACAGCGCTGGGTGATTCTTATGTAATCCAGTTGAAAATCCTTTACGTGGTTTGTGTTTAATATTATGTGCGGCCCTTGACGTTAAGGGACCAAGCGAAGAAGCATAATCAATACAAGCTATATATAAAGGTGATTTTCAGTCGTCACAGTATTTTTCATTAACACAAATCTAATTTTCACTTTCGCAAATGCCTACTGTAACAAAAAGAAAAACAAAAAATAATGCCTTTACTATAGCAAAAACTAAAATTTTTTTAACTTTTAAATAGGGATTTTGGTTTGGACGCTTGTCATTTAAGCCATGTCTTCATTTCATTCGAGACCTTCGTCTTTATGGATGTTTTATTCAAAATATACTGATGCTTCACCATGCGAAACGAGGATGGCCAAATTTCTATAAGACCTGGACTTGAGTTTTTTTCATGTCCCAAAACAAACTATAGTTAGATTGGTTTGAAGCGAGCTTCCATTAAAACTAATAAATAACTAACAATATAAACTAATATAATAAAATTAGTCAATTTGTACCATCCATCAAATGTAATATTCCTCTATAAATGCAGGTGTGTACAAGTTAGATTGTGAATGTGGTCACTCTTACATAGGTCAAACGAAAAGATCTATAAAAACCCGCGTGAAAGAACATATAGCTGACGTGAAGCACCGACGCTCCGGATAGTCTGTAGTCTGCGAACATGTTCAAGATCGTCCCCACCATTACATTAGATTTGATAAACCACAAATCCTCGCAAAAGAACACCGACTCCTACGAAGGATGGTACGCGAGGCTATTGGAATTAAAAAACATCCAAATTTCAATAGAGAAGATGGATGGCTGCTGCTGTAGGCTAGGGATCCTATAATTAACAAAATTAAACCCAAACCCAAGCATACCACTGCAAGACTTCATGATACTATAAGCTCCTTTTGTTTAAATCGGGCCAACAATTAATATTCAAAAACTGAAGGTAGCCGGACTAACTATGACATTGGGACGTCAAACATCTTAGTCTCTCCCATGACCATGGGTGCTCTAAAGCACCCGAAACGTCGGAATAATAAAAAAAAGGAATAAGTTAAAGTAGTAATTAAACGCGATAAAATACGTAAATAATAGTTTTATTCAATGTGTAGTGTTCGCGTAAATATAATAAATCATAATTCATATTAAGTTTTGTTTCTCAATTATTGCATATTACTGAATGAAAAAAAATTGAAACATTTTGTAATCTCTCCCGATAATATTATATGAAATGCGATTACATTTAAACACACATTTTCATTTCGCTTGAATATTTATAGATACAATAAATTAAATGGAGAATGCAGTTTTCTTGCTAATAAAGTTTTGTAGTATTTTACAATATATCGTGATAATAATTAAATAAATTTGAATTATTTTATACAGATATTTAAGTTTTGTTTGAATAATGACTCGGTTACATTAGAAGAGGAACTGTCACTTTGTAGTCGAGATTAGAATGTCGGTAAAATATTTCTCAGTAGCCGTTGCAATATCCTAATCTGTTTTTTTTATCGTACTGCTACGAAAAGTATATGTTTATCGAGGGTATCTGGTATGTATAATATCGGGGAAAAGGTTGCTTTGTTTTTTATATACCTATTCAAGACTTTTTTAAGTTTAATTACATTTAACATATACACACACACACACACACACACACCACACACATATATATATATATATATATATATATATATATATATATATATATATATATATATATATATATATATAAAATGTGGCAACTTAGGCTTTCAGCTCACAATATATTTTGTTAAACCGAAGGAGAGTTTACGTTGCATATAATTTATTTTACGTTTGTTTTTTATTCTCAATCTTGTTTCAGGCTCTTTAGTGCATTATTTTGAAATCGTATTTTTTGCTGTCCGGTTTTTGGATTTTTAAATTATTTATTTTATTTAAATTATTGTTAAAATTCAATTAAAAGTCTGAGTTGTAAAGTTTTATCTTGCCAGTTTCGCTATTTATTAACTTTTAATATATATATATATATATATATATATATATATATATATATATATATATATATATATATATATATATATATATATATATATATTTACTTATTAAATTTTATTAGATAAGTAGGTTTAGTTATATTTCCTAAATGTAGCGACTTGGATGTGGAGCATACACGTTTAAGCAATCTGAATACTTTTTTTATATATTCTCTGAATGAAGTAAATACTTTATTAAATTCAAGACTTTTATGAATAATTAAATTACTTAAGCATAGAAGTCTTGAATTTGATATAAAGATGTTTCTGTTTTTTAGTGTTTTTCTCTGATTATTCCTTATGAAGGTTTTCAGAGAGTATTGTTTCTATATGAAAGTAATGGAAGCTTTTTCATTATATTATTACATCTAAACTTTTCAAGCCATATTCATATATGAAAAAAAATATGACTTCTTTAACTTTTTTGTATATATTGAGATCAACTATCCCCTCAAGTGCCACGGGAAACCATGGTACCCGAAACAAAAAACGAGTTGTCCGCCACCTGGTATTAGGTACCCGTCGCGACATAGTCTAATAAAATGTCATAAAAATCGAATAACGCGTCTTGTGATAAAAAAAAACCTTCATAAAGTCCATATCTATGAAATTATTCAGTGAAATATGAGGTTGGTAGCACGACTCAAGCACAATGTCCACCAACAAAAAAAAAAAAGACAAATGACTTAACAATCTGTGATAAATATATTGTAAAGATATGTTAACAATATATGAATTAGTTTAAACATTCTGGTATTTTTAGAATGGTAATTTAATCTTGCTTTATTTAAATGTTATTAAAATGGATATGAAGCTAAGGGGAATCAAATAATAAAATAATCAAATAAATATTTTTATAGAGTAATGTCAGTTTTCGTATATATGTTTAAGAAACCTTTTTTTTAGAGTTTCAAATTAAAATTATATTTTTTATTATAATTCCTTCTGTCTATATGAGAGGCCTATGTTCATCAGTGGACTTCGAGTTTTTGGATGGAACAATAATGGTCACATGTTTGGCGACTGCTGATGAATTATTTACAAGGCCATCGGCAGAATATCGGGCTCTGTGGTTGTTTTGATACATTGCAGCATAATAGAAAAGAGGTATAGTAGTAATAAGAAAAAGGTTTATTTCAAAAATTATTTTATATATTTACAGCTTAATAACATTTTTAAAGAGCTATCCACGGAGATGTAAAATATGTTTACAGGAATCATTCACGGGTAATAATAAACCTCTTTGAATACCCATAATAACAAATTTTAAGAATTATCGGCAAAGGTTACCGAATATCGTTTGTACCGAACTTGGCCCCTTTTTACATTTATGTTTTTGGTTGTATTCTACATTACGTCTTGAAGTCTTTAAAAATATATAACAAGCCTTGTCTATATCTTATAATTTTTGGTACGATGACTAGTTCACATAACAAACAGTTGACTCACCGCGGAGTCTGCCTATCAATCTATGTGTCCTATATACTTTTAACAAATACAGGATGAAATGTTCATCTTAATCAGGCGACCATATATACATACATAAATATTCACGCCTGTCTGTAGGCAGAGACTACAGACTTCCATTTGGCACGATCCTGACACACCTCTCTCGCCTCCTCCACATCCATATACCTACGCATACATGCTCGTCGGTTAAGGGCATTCATAGGAGTACCGATCATGTAGTGGCAGTGTAAACATATTCACTGTACCATATCATCTCATGGGTGCCGTGAGAGGCGACAAAGGGAAACAAACATGGCAGCAGCGTCAGAACGGTGCGAAACCAGCTGAGTCTTCTTAAAATCAACTAGAGAGAGAGAAAATCGATTGCGGCAACTATGCCAAATATTCCCTCTATCAGGCTGTCTAAGGAGACCGTGTGTTCAGCATTATAGTTTCAAGAGTTGAAGAGTCATTTTTAGAGATATTTTTTTCTTTCTCTGTCTCCCAACAGGCATTAGTGCAGCGGGGTGAATTTCATAAGCTGTGGAGCGAATATAATTTGGTTTAGTTGCTTTGTATAATTTTATAATATATATGAAATATTAAAACTTTTAAAATTATTTTTAATATTTTTGTAAATATCTTATAATAATCATACTAAAATATTTAAAAGTTTTATCTCCTGAGACCGAGTTCAC